CAGGTAGTGGTGGGCCTGGGTTCCCGACAGCCCCCGACTGTCACTTTGTGGCAGAGCGACATGGTATGTTGAGACCACCTAGGAGAGAGGAGGGCCTGGCCCTGGTCGGCGTTCATGGTTACTTCAAAATAACACGCTTAACGAGATCTGGGTATTTGATCTGAGTCTGGCCACTGGCCTATACGCACTAACCAACTACGCGGGAACAGTTATGGGCACTCGACGTCGTGGTATCAGCCGAACCCTTCGTGACGTCAGCGACTGAGCGGCGCGCGTCGGGTTGGATTGGAACACCTGCTCTTGTATAAGGGAGGCTAGGTCTGCTCGTTGGCCGCGTACGCAACGTGCAGGTGTGCAATGGGCGATGGGCCCAGACCCCTGCACCATAGGATTTAGACCGGCGTGCTGACCTCTCTGTTGTGCCTAGGTAGGGCTGTGATGTGTTGATCTTCCGAGACCGGGCATGACCCAGAAAAGTGTGTCCGGACAAAGGGGATCGAGCGTGTTGGGAAATGTGGTGCACCCCTGCAGGGAAGTTAATCTATTCGAATAGTCGTGATCTTCGGTAACAGGATGACTTGGAGTTGTAACTTGACCTTATGACAACTAGAACCGGATACTTAATAAAATACACCCTTCCAACCGATGATCGCTCTCTCATAGGGCGACGAGGGGAGGATCATCGGGTAGGATTATGCTATGCGATGTTACTTGATGAACTTACCTTCTACTCTCTTCTACATGATGCAAGATGGAGGCGGCCAGAAGCGTAGTCTTTGATAGGACTAGCTATCCCCCTCTTATTCTGGCATTCTACAGTTCAGTCCACATATGTTACCCCTTTTCCATTTGATACCAATGCATACATATGTAGTGTAGCTCCTTGCTTGCGAGTACTTTGGATGAGCACTCACGGTTGCTTTGCTCCCCCTTTTCCCCCTTTCTATACCCGATTGCTGCGACCAAAGACGTTGGAGTCCAGGAGCAAGACGCCACCGTTGACGATGACTCCTACTACTCTGGAGGTGCCTACTACTACGTGCAGGCCGCTGACGACGACCAGGAGTAGTTTAGGAGGATGCCAGGCAGGAGGCCTGCGCCTCTTTTGATTTGTATCTCAGTTTGTGTTAGCCTTCTTAAGGCAAACTTGTTTAACTTATGTCTATACTCATATATTGTTGCTTCCCCTGACTCGTCTATGATCGAGCTCTTGTATTCGAGCCCTCGAGGCCCCTGGCTTGTAATATGATGCTTGTATGACTTATTTTATTTGTAGAGTTGTGTTGTGATATCTTCCCGTGAGTCCCTGATCTTGATCGTACACGTTTGCATGTATGATTAGTGTACGATTGAATCGGGGGCGTCACAGTATATCCCTGTGATCTTGCTTGGAGATTTGTACAAAATTTTCCTTTTCTTTTTTCCTTTTTCTTCTCATATACTACTCCCTTCGTTTCATAATGCAGTACCTATAGATTTTTTTTAAAGTCAAACATTACAAATTTTGATCAAATTTATAGAGTACATAGATACATCTAGAATACCAAATGCATGTTATTGAATACATTATGAGTTATATTTTCATAATGTACATGTTTGGTATTGTAGATGTAGACATTTTTCTCTATAAACTTGATCAAAGTTGGCAAAGAACTTTCAGTAGAAGCTATATGCAGGGAGTATGTTGCTTGACTGGGACCTAGCTACACCCAATTTCTATTTTTATGCATTGGGACACAAGCTTTGAATTTTCTTGAAAAAAATGCTCTCTCCATTCCATAATGTAGTGCATATAATTTTTTGAAAAGTCAAACCACACAAATTTTGATCAAATTTGTGGAGAAGAATAATTATATCTAGAATGGCAGACATATGTCATTAGATTCATCATAAGATGTAGTTTCATATTTTATATTTTTGATATTGTAGATATAAATAATTTTCTCTATAAATTTGATCAAAGTATGTTAAAAAATACTCCCTCCGTTCACTTTTGAAAATCATTTCAGACAACTCAAAATGGCCTGTTTTGTATATTGTTTGAAATGTTTTCAAGGTCTTATAAAAATGAACAGAGAAAGTATATATAATTAATATATTATGGAACGGAGGAAGTAATATTCAACGATGAATGTCATTCTAGGGGTGTATGCGCCATTTCCTTGTAGAAGCTGAAGTGTCCAGCGTCGGGTACCAAAAACGCAACAGAGACCAACGCTAGACGCGAGCTCTCCTGCACGCGGCCGCAAGAAAAACAAAGAAACAGCGGACCCCCACCAACTCGCCGCCATCGTCCCCGGCGACGTCGCCGCCCGCCGCGGAACCCTCCTGCGCCTTCCGTAAGCTCAGCCCCTCCCGGAAATTTGCTCCCTTCGGTCGCTCGCACTGGAGTCATCCTTGTCCTCTCGCTCGAGCTGCACGCGCCGGAGATTTGGGGGGCGATTTCCGGTTACGGGTTCTTCCGATTTTACTACTTTGGATGCTGGTGCGGCGTCTGTGAGCAGTGAGAGCAAAGCTATTAGGCTTTTGTGTCGGGCACCCGTGGTATGGCTTAGCAGTAGGGGGGTGGGGGGGAGAGGGCTAAGCTAGGGTTTTCAGCAGCGGAGAACCTAAGACAAAACGTCGTCTATGTGGCCCTGGGCGCGGCGGTGGTGGCTACTTCCTTCGCTGGAGGTGGTCGGCCAGCTGGTTGTGGCATCACACGTCCAGTCCCGGCATCGAGTGAGAGACGATGCTGTCGGTGAAAACCGTGCTATGACTTCGGTCAGGGCTGACGATGGCGGCGTTTTTGCGTCGTTATCTTGATGAAGACATCGCCAATGTAGCTACCGTCGACTCGCTTGCGCTGCTCCGGGTGAAAACATAGACCCGGGGTTCCCGGATCGAACGATGGCGACACTTTAGGCGTCGTTCTCCCTCATGGGGGCATTGTTTTTGGAGCAGCGGCTGGATGGAGGAGACAAGTGGTGGAGCGGTTTTTCATTTACCACATCAAAGACGACGGATCTCGGCGGCGTGGCGCAATAGGGATTCGGTGTCCGATGCGAGGAGATGGACTCACACAGGAGGAGGACACTGTCTGGCGTCATGGTGGCGTCGATGGCAGAGAGGCCTGGAAAGGTCGGTGCGTTAGTTTTTGCTCTGAAGATGGATTGGTGGAAGATGACGGCGACGGCACATGAGAGTGCGTCGGACTGGTGTATACCCCAAACCCAGTATGTGGCTTGGTTGGGGCCTCCGGTTTTAGATGTTAGGCATTTGTGCGATGTCTGTTTGGTATTAGGCTCGGACTATCGGCACACCTTCATCAAGTGGATAGAAATAGCGACAGATGTTGCTAGGATGGTGACTTCAGACTACCTGATGTACTACTTTGTAAGGTCTTTGTGAATAATTAATAAAATGGCTGCATGCATCGCTCAGATGCAGAGGTCGGGGGTAATCCTTATTTTCTAAAAAATAAAATAAAAAATGCACAAAGTTGTACTAAGCGAGTGTCGATTAATATGGATCGGAGGGAGTAGTTCCTTTTGTTTTAAAAAAAGGAATCCTTGTTCTTTTCTTTCTTGTCCTTGGAGTGGTTCTAGGCAATGGTGACTCCTCTAGTTATCAGCAGCGGAGAACCTAAGACAAAACGTCGTCTATGTGGCCCTGGGCGCGGCGGTGGTGGCTACTTCCTTCGCTGGAGGTGGTCGGCCAGCTGGTTGTGGCATCACACGTCCAGTCCCGGCATCGAGTGGGAGACGATGTTGTCGGTGAAAACCGTGCTATGACTTCGGTCAGGGCTGACGATGGCGGTGTTTTCGCGTCGTTATCTTGATGAAGACATCGCCAATGTAGCTACCGTCGACTCTCTTGCGCTGCTCCGGGTGAAAACATAGACCCGGGGTTCCCGGATCGAACGATGGCGACACTTTAGGCGTCGTTCTCCCTCATGGGGGCATTGTTTTTGGAGCAGCGGCTGGATGGAGGAGACAAGTGGTGGAGCGGTTTTTCATTTACCACATCAAAGACGGCGGATCTCGGCGGCGTGGCACTATGGGGATTCGGTGTCCGATGCGAGGAGATGGACTCATGCAGGAGAAGGACGCTGTCTGGCGTCATGGTGGCGTCGATGGCAGAGAGGCCTGGAAAGGTCGGTGCGTTAGTTTTTGCTCTGAAGATGGATTGGTGGAAGATGGCGGTGACGGCACATGAGAGTGCGTCGGACTGGTGTATACCCCAAACCCAGTATGTGGCTTGGTTGGGGCCTCCGGTTTTAGATGTTAGGCATTTGTGCGATGTCTGTTTGGTATTAGGCTCGGACTATCGGCACACCTTCATCAAGTGGATAGAAATAGCGACAGATGTTGCTAGAATGGTGACTTCAGACTACCTGATGTACTACTTTGTAAGGTCTTTGTAAATAATTAATAAAATGGCTACATACATCGCTCAGATGCAGAGGTCGGAGGTAATCCTTCTTTTCTAAAAAATAAAATAAAAAATGCACAAAGTTGTACTAAGCGAGTGTCAATTAATATGGATCGGAGGGAATAGTTCCTTTTGTTTTAAAAAAAGGAATCCTTGTTCTTTTCTTTCTTGTCCTTGGAGTGGTTCTAGGCAATGGTGACTCCTCTAGTTATCACGGCGCCTGATTCGGGGAACGAACTCGGAACTTTCTTTTGTTATAACGAGCTATGACATGCTCATGCATCATAATTCTTGGTTAGTAACTTTTGCATTGTAAGTTTGGGCATACTTTGAAATGGGTGCATTTGTGTTTGGCAGGGGCAATGGACAAATTCGTGCGAGTTTACAGCGGCGGGGAGCTGGTGAAGGGTCCAAATGGGGTCGAATTCGGGGACCTCTCCGAGCAGGGTATATGGTTCAAGGAATCACCCACATACAGTGAGCTCATTGGCGCCGTGTACAAGAAGTTCGGGCTGGAACCTACGACACACATTGTTCGTGCACAGGGAAGGGCGAATGTCGGTGGTGGCGCTCATCGGCACTTCATCATGGTGCCTATCGATGACGATATGTCCTGGAGTAACTATGTCAAAGCAGTTTTCAATGGCACCGACTGGAATTGCCTGGAGGTTTATGTTCAGGCAGAGAAGCGTCCATCTATGGAGCCGGTTTCTTCGGAGCCACAGAGGTCCTGGACAAGGGAGCAGAGCCCTAGAGCTGGCGGTTTCGACTTCTTTCTGAGCAACAAGAGAAATGATTCACCATCCTCAAGGAAGGAGCCTGAGTCGGCTTCAGAGTCAGAATCCGACATGAAGTCTGAAGATGGCGAGGATGATGGCTTTGCCTACACATTGCACCAGAGGGTTCTCGAGCTTGAGGACGATCTCAATGCTGCGAACCGGAAGCTGCTTGATGCAAACGAAAAGCTCGAGGTTTTCGAGAAGAAGAGCTTGAGGTGCCGTTGCGATTATAAGGAAAACGGAAATGGTGCCGATCAAGCTACAAAGATTACACATACCGAGGGAGATCTCACGTTGATTAGGGAGAAGCTACAGTATTCACAAGTGGAGATTGACAGTCTCAAAAGGAGGCTCGAAGACGCCGCAACTTTGTCAGAAGAGCACTCTAGGCTGTTGGAACAAAACAAGGAACTGGAATCTGAAATTGTCAATCTGAAGGAAGAAATGGCTTCGGCAAGACTGTATTTCGACGACAAACTATCCGAGAGCAAGGCCGAGATCAGCAAGTACATTCAAGAGCTTACCGCCGTGTACAAGAAGCTGCTGCGGGAGAGGCTCACCAACAGAGCACAGATGGGTAAGCTGCAAGAGACGATCCGGATCGCCGGTCATGAGCTGGAGAAAGTTTCTGAAGAGAAATCCCTAGTGGAGGATCATGTGAAGGAGCTGGAGGAGGCAAACGCCGAAGCCGAAAGGCGGAGGCAGGAGCTCATCCATGCCGCCGAAATGCTGTTGGAGGACAAGTTCAGGCATGAGGCTGAGATCCTGACGATGCAGCAGAGCATCGAGGATCTGAAGCCGAAATTCGTGAGCATCGCCAGAGAGAAGTCGCTGCTGAAACTCTGGTTCGCTGATCTGGAGGTCGTTGTGGATCGAGGGAGGAGCGTCGTAGTGGAGTAGCCCGGTTTTCTTGAAAATTTCAGTAGCTAGAATTTAGCAAATTAGCAGTACTATCTCTTTGTTTTTTGGCCTGAGGTACAACATCATGCAAAACTGAGAAACCCTACCGTGGACATCAGTGTTGCCTTTTCCTGGAATATTTGTTGCGTTGTTGCGTTGTGAGGTGATAGGTGTTGTTGGTGATGTATGTCCTGATGCAATGCGAGACATTTGCACTGGATGCATGCATTTCATTTGGCAATCGAATGTCCCTGATGAGTGCATTTGGAAGCCAAGCCCTGAACTCAAAATGCTGCCGCTGTTGATATAGCTAAGTGACAAGAATAACGACTGACTTAACAGGCGTATGTTGTGAAAGTTCAGGAGGTTCCTTAATGATCTAGAAATCGTGGAGTCCCTTTTCTCTATGTTTATATGATGAGTACTTGCAGTTCTTACCACGAGTAAGACATTCTTTTCAATCTGAAAGTTAATATACTCCTTATTTCCTTATTATCTCACTGGGATGTTGTGTTCAGAATCTCATTTCTATCTGAAAATATTCAGTCTTGGTAGTGTAGTGATTACAGAAAGGCAGACTGTAGACTGTTATCCCTATATGCATAAACGAGAATGTAGTTGATCAATAATCCAAAACCTGCTCTATGTTTTGTTTTTCTGAATTTGCAGGGAATGGGCATTCTGCCATGAAATGGAGGGGTTGAAGATGTTTCCAAGTGACTTAAAGATGAAGAGCTTGTACTTCATGGAAGACGTTTGCTGGCGTCTAGACACCTCATTACAGTTGTATATCAAGCAGCTGCTTATCTGCAAGTTATTTCAAGTATTTAGTCTAGTTGCAATGCCTTCGAGTCCATGGCTGGAGCTGTTCCGCCGTTCGTTTGTTGGCCATCGAGAATTCTTGCAATGCATGGGTGTGTTAAATTAGAAGGCCTCTAACATAGGTCATTTGTTTCTCACATTTTTATTTACGTCCATCATCTAATCTACCTTGATCATGTGTCCTATTTAAACCTAAATTAAAGAAATGAACAAAAAGAAGTCATTCAGCATTCAAGCCAATAACCAAACTGCTGTAATTCCCTTTTTGAAGCAAAAACTTTTGTCCATAAGCACACTGTAGTTACCTTAAATTAAGGAGATATCACCCATAAATACAAAGGAAAAAAAATCTCCAAAATTCCTGAATATCCCACCAGTCATATTGGCAAATGACCAGCATCTCTACTCCAGCTCCCAATTTTGTTTTCTTTTGCCAAAATTACCTCAGCTAGCTTAACACTAGCACAACAGTTCGAAAACTGCCATCAAACAAATTATTTGGTCAGCGGCAAATCTGAGTACTAGCTGGGATGCTCCAGAATAACACCAGGGAGGTACAATTTACAGTGCGTTTCATCATACCACGGGATGGTACTGTACGTACTAATTAAGTTTGACTTAACACTAGAGTCAGCACTACTTGCTGTAAACAGGGAGCAGAAACAAAGATCAGCAATAGTAAACTGAACTGATATCTCCTTAATCATTCAGAGCACCGCCTCGATGCTCAGCTGCTTCTTAAACATGTAGCGTTTGGACTTGTGCTTAATCATACGAAGCCCACGAATCATCCCTTTGCCTTTGCTGCCGTTGTTGGCATCGTCTTTGCCGGTACCATTGTTGCCACTATTGCAGTTGAAATTGTCTTTGTTGGCGCCATTGCCGCCCTTGCCATTGCCATTGCCGTACACTACCTCCATACCAGTAAAGAGGGCAAATTGCTGGCCAGCAACCATGTCGCTGCTGTCCTTGTCGAATTTCATGTCACTAAGGAAGTCAGCAAAGAGGAACCTGCCTGAGCCGAGGCTGATGATCTTGGAGTCGCACAGTTCATTCGGCTGCCACTCCTCTGGCAGGTCATCATCCTCCCAGATCCGCAACTTCTCTGGCAGCGGCTCCTCCCCTCTGACAACGCCGGAGAGGTCGACAGCGATGGGGAGGCGGCGTGAGAGGCCAAACCAGAGCCCGAGCTCCGGGACGTACTCCGCTTTGCCATTGAACGGCATGATCCAGTCGCCGGCCTTGCTCCACTCGCGAGTCGCGGTGTGGAAGCAGTAGGTGCCGGTGCCCTCTGCGCCGGAGATGGAGAAGCAGATGGTGTCGCCGCCGACAAGGGCGTGCTCGTAGACCAAGGCGTGCTTGTGGCGGATGATCCACGGGGGCAGCGGGAGGATATCGCAGTGCCAGGACCTGCGACATGCGCGGACGGGCGGCGCCCCCTCCACAGCAGGGCCTCGAACTGCGGCCGCGATTCCGCCGTGTCCGGATGTAGGACCTGATCGATGATGTAGAGGTCGCCCGCGTCTTCGCCGTCATGGAGGTGCAAGGCCGACGGAGGGACGGCGACGGCCAGCGGCGAGTCCTTGTGCTGGTGGAGGTTTGGCATGCTGTCGATGCAGCGGCGGTGCTCGCCCGCGTCAAAGCGGAGCAGGTTGTTCTCCGACGCGGTGGGGAAGAAATGGATGACATGATTGGTCGGCAGGGAGGACGAGACTACCGGCGGCCTCATGGTCACCTGGCTTTTTGGAGACTTGATCTTGGGCGCCGCCGCCTCCGCCGCCGCCAAAGCAGCCTTGAAGCTTCTTCTCCTGTTGGGCGCCCAGGCCTTGGCGGGCGTCAGTGTTGGCACCACCTTCGCATGCGCGGCCGTCTCTTCTGCCGATTGGTGAAAAAATTCCATCTTGGAGAGGTCCAGGCGCCGCAGCGAATAGACGCGTTTCATACACCCCCAGATTTACGAACCGCCTGGCGCCGCCGCTCATCTCCGACTCTCCGACGATCTACTCAGCATGACCCTGCTCTCCTGGGTGGGTCAGACGTTGTAGATTGAAAAGAAATAAGGACAAAATTGGATACACAGATCTACCGGCGGCCAACCTGGATCAGAACCACGGCGGGAGGGAGGAGGCAGGTCTAGTCTCGAGGAAAAGAATTCTATGAGACCAGGTCTCACGTGAGACCCATCCTGATAGATCCTGATAGATGACACGTGGCATTCATAAATCACAAAGCATTTTCCATCCCCCACTTGATCATCTCGTCCAATTATTTATTCAAACCACCATATTTGAGGGAAAAATTATATAAAACCATGTCTCATGGATGACATGTAGCATTCACAAATCCCAAAACAGTGGGGTAAATGCTTTGGAATTTGTGAATGCCATATGTCATCCATCAAGATGGGTCTCACGTGAGACCTGGTCTCATCTCGTGCATGCACACGGAAGATAATCAAGCAGACTGCCGGATCGTAAGCAGAGAAGAAAAAAAACTTGCTGGCCACTAAGATCATGCAGGACGTGCCCCATAATTAGCGTTAGATTAGTGCGATCTGGGGCGCCAGATTTTATGGGGCCCTGTGCAGTTGACCGCCTTAGCCACCCTTGTCAACGGCTCTGGCGCCGCGTCTCGTTGCAGCGCCTCCTTCTTCTCTATCTTCAACTCTTTCAACTCAAGGATTTTCTCAAGAAAACATGCAAGTGTTAGAGGTAGAAAAAGAGTACGCAGGAACTTTGTGGCACCGCACGACTTGTGCCTTTTCGGTTTTTCTATTCTCTTTCTCACGGCTGATTGCAAGCCTCCTGATCCACTAGGCTGTCCACTAGCCGGTAGTAAAGGCCACGAGTAACAACTTTTGACCCAGCCACACGGTTCGGCCGGCGCCACACTTATCCGTTGATTACTCGGTCACGTCTCAGCCCCTAACAGCTATATAGCCCGGCCATGCACCGGCATAGGCGTACATGCATGTTTCTCATCTGACGGATGCTCACACATGCACCCACTTTCTCCACCCTGACTAGCTCAACTAACTAACTAATCTCAAATACATGCATGAACGTACTAATGCGAGAAATAAACATGATGAATGACTAGACAACAAGGTTAACTCTATCAGCGGCGGCGGCTTCAGGCGGCGCGAACGCCACGGCGGAGCGCGCGCTGGAGCAGCAGTGCACGGTGGCGCCGCGACGGTGCCCATGGAAGCCATGACCCTGCGCGCGCTGGCGCGCGCAGTGGAGTGCACGTCCGTCCTTGGCCATCTAGGGCGGGGAGGCCACAGACCCGTGGTGGGCGCGGGGCGTCTCCTTGCCGCGAATGCATCGTCCGGCTCCCCGATGCGCCGCCGCGCGGCCTCACCTGGGCGTGGTGCCACTGACGACACTTTCATAACCTGTTCGTTGAAATGCCCACGAGAAAATGAAGAGAGAAATAAAAAGAAAAGGTGAAAAGATAAACACTTGAGTCATTGACAGGTGGGACCCTCGTCCAACTCAGCAAACTTTCCACATAGGCACACCACGTCAGCCCGACATGCAGGCCCCACCCATCAATTTCACTGTTTTCACGACCAAATTCCAGTATCAGTGCTATGCGTTATGAATTAGGCGCATTTCTGATGGTTTTTTGTGCCCTGCCTTAAATGTGGTACCAAGTTGTTACCCTAACCGCAAGTGTGGTGATTTTGGGTAAATAACTCTAGCTACGACTATATGTAGAAGGGGCTTGTAAGTTAAATGCTCATCGACTTTGGCTACTTCAGTAGGCCTGAAGTGCCTTGGACCATTTCCTCCGCTGTAATAAATTCAATTCGCAACAATGTAAGTAAAAGATGATTATCCATCTGAAAGGAAGGTGTACTAAAGCAGTATCTGGACAGTAACAATTCAATCAACAATGTTAAATGCCCTGGTGCCAAAACAGTGGAAACATGGTTGAGTATGTAAAAAATGGAGATGTTTGCACATGGTTCAGTAGGTAAGATGACAATCTGTACAGGAAGATTAATTTTACATCTTGAACAACATGGTTCAGCAGGCAAAAGCGACATAAACTGGACTTCCTGTACACCTATAAAGTTGTTCCTACTGAGTGCAGTGCACAAACCTTATATCTGATGAATTTTTTTTCTAAACCCAATGAGTGATTACCACAAACATGAAAGGGTGTCGTCA